AAGTCAAAATCGTATATATGGCAGATTTCTATGGATGAACGCCAACATTAAATTATTTTATTTCAGAAAGTATGTAAATAATTATTCTCGAACTTGTGCCCTGTAATTATATTTTAGATATTACAGATTATTACAATAAGATAGGATCCGAAGTAAGGTCGACCTTCACCCATCTGTTTAACGGACCAAAGTATTTTTTTTTATTAAATAAAATATATTTATAAATATAGTGAAGACCGAGGCAAAGTGGTTACAAGGGGCATTGCGGTCATCCCCTCCTGGTAGGGGTTGAATGGGGACTGCACAATTCGATTTACGATTTAGTCTACCATTTGACAAAGAAGGGTATAGTAAATTTTTTTTGGTATGCTACAAATTATCGGGATTTTACAGAATTTTACCATCTCTTATCTAAGGTAAGTCTCTAATATATTTCAATAAATAATAAATAGAGAATTTCGAGGGCATAAACTAGTATTAATAAATGTAACCTACGATTGCATTTTTGTTTGTAAATATTTATTTTACTGATAAAAGAAATTCGGGACAATCTGGTTACACAGGGTGAACACTTTGTTTCATAAAGATATTCTGACTACCTACATTAGTGATTTTTATTTCAGTGAAATTTTGCAATGGTTCAAAAAAGGCAAAGCTCTACTAACCAGCAAACTTGAAGTTCTGAGAATATGCTCAGAGCTATAGGATATTTTAAAACAGCTAGTAGAAACTACAATGTACCACGTACTGCTCTAAAGAAGAATTTGAAATGTAAATAAAGATGCTGTAGGTAATAAAAAATGTTGTGTGCTTACAGGCCAGTATTTAACAAAGATCGAGAAGAAATACTTGAGCTAATCTTAGATATGGAGCAAAGGTTCTATGGGTTTACTGCCAGAGGTGTTAGGCTACTGGCCTTCGAGTTGGCTGAGAAAAACAAAATAGATCATCCCTTTAATAAAGTACTGCAATTGGCAGGTGAAGAGTGGCTATATGGCTTTCGCAAAAGGCATTCTCAGTTGCCTCTTAGATTTCCAGAGCCAACTTCAATTACAAGTGATCAGGGTTTTAATAAAATAATGGTATCAAAATTCTTTGATCTTTTAAAGGGCCTAATGTCTACGTACAATTATCCTCCACATAGAATATTCAATGTGGATGAAACAGCGGTGACAACCACTCAGGCTAAAAATAGTAAGGTTTTTGCATTAAAAGAAAGAAGACAAGTTGGCGCTATATAATAATAATAATAATAATAATAAACTTTATTTGCAACTTCCAGTTTTTTATACATATAAAAATATTCAGAAAAAAAGTGCCAAAGAAGGCTGCAAAAAGGACTGGTGAACAGTGGATACTGATCAAAGCACCAGCCCTGAGTATTATCAACGCCACAGGACATCGTACAAAAAACAATATAAATATAAACACAAATGATAGTGAGAAAAAAAAGTATAAACATTCTAAAAAGTAGCTATCACTCTGCTGTGTCAAGAAGAAACTTTTTGTAAAAATTTTTAAATTTACTTACAGACATTTCTTTAAAATGTTGTGGGATAACCTTGTACATTGCATAAATATTATAAGTGAAAGACCGTCTGAAAATAGCAGTATTATGTATTGGAGGTGAGATACGACCACAAAAACGTAGATTGAGGTTATGAACATCAGAACGATACATTATTTTATTAAAAAGATATGGAGGGGATTTATGTAAAATAACAGAATGAAACAAATTAGCCGAGTGTAAGTTTCGTCTGGATTGCATATCTAGCCAGTTTGAATCCTTGAGTTTATGAGAGACTCTATCAAATTTCCGTATTCCATAAGAAAATCTTAAACAAGATTTCTGTACTCTCTGAATTCTAATTATGTCTGCGTTATCTAAACAGGGCCCATAAACTGAATCACAAAAGTTAAAATTACTCAGAACCAGGGAATCTGTTAATAACAATTTTGTTGTAGTTGGAAGAACATGTCGATGTGGGTAAAGCATTTTTAAATTCATGTATGCTGTTTGGATGCACTTGTTAGCGTGAAGTTTAAACCTCAAGTCATTATCAATTACTAAACCTAAATTGCGAGCAGATGTGGAAAATGATAAAATATTCCCATCAACTAGAATCTGCATTTCATTTTGTAGTTGATGTCGGTATTTACCAAATAACATTACTACACTCTTAGCTGGATTAATATTAAGTTGATGAATATTTGAAAGTTTAACTAGTCTGTCAAGATCTTCATTAATATGATTATTAGCTTCAAAGAAATCATTATGATTAAAAGAAAATTTAACTTGAGTATCGTCAGCATAAAAAAATGGCTTACCATTCCTAATGCTATTCTCAAAGTTGGAGGTATATAGTGAAAATAATAATGGCCCAAGTATTGATCACTGAGGAACTCCACAGGAAATCTGCTTAGTATTTGATGAACCTGCATCAGTAACCACAAATTGTTTCCTGTTATACAGGTAGCTATTAAAAAGTCTGATAACATCATTAGAGCAACCAATAAAATGTAATATTGAGAGTAAAATTTTATGATTAATAGTATCAAATGCTTTGGAATAATCTAGCATAACAAGTGCTGCCGTTTTTTTGACATCAATATCCCTGAAGAGATCATCAGTGACATCCAGTAAAGCTGTAGCACAACTATAGCCAGAACGAAAACCTGACTGTCGCAGTGGAAGTATTTGATTATTTTTTAAATGAATATTTAATTGAAATTTCATGATTTTTTCAATCACTTTGGATAACACTGGTAGGATAGAGATGGGACGCAAATCGTTCACACTAGTAACGTTCTTTTTCTTGGGCAAGGGAAAGACTTTTGATAGCTTCCAAGATTCCGGAAAGATGCAATCGGTGAGGCAAACATTTATGATCGTCAGCCGAGAGAGGTGTTTTATGCAAAGCTGTTAATTACATAGCTGCAGGAAGAAATTTTATGCCACCCATGCTAATCTTTTCAAGAAAAAGGATGAAAATGAAATTGACTGAAGCAGCACCATCTACATATTTTTGAACAATGATTTGATCACTTCATTAGTTTCAAAAAACCTACAAAGGAAGACTCAGTACTTCTAATATTCGATGGACATAATATCCACACCAAAAATTTGGCTGTAATAAAGAAAGCATAAGCAAATAATCTAGAAATACCATGCCTGCCACCAAACTGCAGCCACAAACTGCAACAAACATATCGTTAAATTAATTAATTACTTAATTAGTGTGAAGAAAGTTCTAAGACACAATCATGGATGCATTATTATGCAATTTAAAGTTATTCGACTTTTTGGGGAAGCTTATTTGCAAGCGACAACGCCAAAAACTGCAATGAATGGTTTTAGGAAAACTAGTATACATCCATATGATATGGATGTTTTTCCTGAGATCGAGTTTGCTCCCTCACTGATGACTGATAGGCTTCATATTGATGTTTAAAGTAACTCTTTGGAGAAACATGCTAAAGTACTAGATCTAGACAAAAATAAAGACATACTCTACGCAACCTGGGACGTCTGCCGGTAAACAGCAGATTCCACAAAATCACCTTTTGAAGAATAATATCTTGACGTAAAAACAAGTTTTCTTTAGTGTAAGTCCTAGACCGTTGCCAAAGAGAAAGATTACATAACCAAAATGAAGAAAATGTTGAACAACTGCTATCTTAATTAGTAGCCCGTACAAGTACGAACTGGAACAGGAACTTCAAAGAAAAAAAAACAAAAAGTTCAATTCACAATACAGGATTTTTTTAACGATAGAACAAATTCAGTGAAAAAACCAATCAATATATAAGCAAAAAACCCTTAAAATCACGTAGAAATAGTGAAAGTGGCAGCTTATCAGAAATTGGAACAAACAAAAAGAAACCAAGTAGGAAAGAAAAGAAGCATGAGGTGAATGTAACTGCAAGCAGAAAGCTCTTCTGAAGAGAAAAATGGAATCCCTGAATGTTTATCTCCAATCACACAAAGGAGATGATTGGATTTCCTGTTTCCAATATAGAAGCTAGGCCCACGATGAATGCGCAGAGATTAGTAACGACAAATTGGACTTTGTTTGCAAAATATGTGTTTAACTAGTAGATTTTAGTTTAAACTAACCTTTTTATGTTATTTAGCTAGTGCAAATTTTTAAAAAATAATGTTTGTTCCATACCGCAATCGTCATAGTTTTATTACTTATTACCTACGTTTTTATAATAAATATAAATGGCATCTGATAAGCCTATTTTTACTAAAAATTTTAAAAAGTCCACAAGGGACCACTTTACCCCAAGTGAGGGCCCATTTTGCGCCAGATACCGGGGTGAAGTGGTCATTATGCACCAAATTGTATATATTTTTTTAATACAATAGTTAAAAGAATTCTAAAATAAATATATGTTATTTTTAAAATTTCCAGCTTAAGTTTGGATACATAACAAAGAATATACATCTAAGCATACAAATATTACTAATTTTCTAGCTTTACAAGGGCCGCTATGCCCCGGTATCCGCTACTGCAAATTGGTTGCCTAAGAAAATACGGTACGGAAACTTTTTACTTTGCTTTCATGATAAAAGTTGCTTGTGATGTCATTCTCTATAATTTTGGTCCTATACATGATTTCCTTAAAATGGACCTATTCTAGATATTTAAGGAAAAGTGCAAATTTTGAATTTTGAAGATAACTCAAAAACGGATGAAGACAAAAACATCATAGTCAAAGCATCTGGGGAATAATTTGCAGGGTGTCGTTTTTTTTTCAGTTTAAGAAAATAAATAAACTTGACCGTATTACTTTGGCAACCCATTTGCGGTATATTTATGAACATATTTTATTTAATAAAAAAAAAACTTTCATTCATTAAACAGATGGATGAAGGTCAACCTTACTTGGGATCTCAGACTACAATGTATAGGTATCAAACGTAGTAGAGAAACAATTAAAAAATTAACCGTTTTTGGTACTTCATCTATTAAAATACTGTTTTTAATTTTTAGTTCAACAGTGATACCTATTTCAATGTCCCTACGTTAACTTTCGCCTATTATCATGCCCAACATTCTGATGTATATGCTTATCGCTTTGCATTTAAAGGAATGTTAGGAAATCAAAATAGCACATTTCCAGGTAAGTCATGTTTTGTATACACTGATTTAAATCACATGTATACAAATTGTGTTATTTTTATAACAATCGTGAATACCAGAATAGCGACTGTTGTCAAAATTGTTATATAGTTGATATGAAAGTGGTTAGCAAGTTGTTATAAAGTTGACAGATAACAACTGTAGGTAGTTAAGAAATAGAGATCTGAGTCATGAACAGTATTTTAGAACTGTAGACTGTTGTTAATATTACTGGTACATACGAATACTATAACAAAGATCGGTTGGTACAAATATGTACCGCTCTCATTGCATAAATATTGCATTCACACTAAATACATGTCAAATGAAGAGTCGATGGGAAAAACGTTAGGGCTCAAAATTAAAACGGTGTTGAATTGATAATAGTAAAGTCTGGAGAACATCTAACGGGTTTTTAAAATTTTAAAGCTTTTGCGTTATTTTACGATTGGAACTTTATCATTTTTGCCTAGTAAGCAGACTATTTTAAAGTGGAAATATTAGGTTTATTCCAACAACGATCTTAAAACCATACATAAACCAGTCCACGACTTATGGTTGACGATCTGTCGACAACTAGTAATTGACAACCTGTCGAGAATTGGGTCCCAACTTCGAACTCGGTTATGTTGTAACCTCCTTGGTTGGAACACATTTTTAATAACTTCAATAGCCACACTATTACAATAATAAACCACAAAAAAAATAAACGATAATAAACAAAAATTATGAAGACTTAACTCGATTGACAAATACAAATCAGAGCTGTCAGAGACGATAGATACAAATAATATAATAATTACAATAACGAAATTTTTAAATTATTGCATCTTTGCGCATGTCTTGACAATTCGTTCCTATTCTGACTCATTAACTGATTTGAAAGTAAAGAATTCTGTTTGTGATTACCCAAGGCAGGCTTTTTAATGTCCAGTGATCTCTCTATCCGGCCGGCAACTAGGTGAAGGGCTAAATCAGTAGATCTGCCTGGGGTGTATGTTCATTTGGATGTAGTAGTGTTTTTATAATCACCACATCCCTTATGTACCTTTTACATAGCCTTTCTAATGTCTTCATGGAAAACGATATCAGGCTAATTGGTCGGTATGTTTTTGGGACAGTGTAATCCACCCTTCCAGGTTTGGGTATAAAAACTACCTTTACCCCTCTTCATTTTTGGGGGATATACCTCAGAGCCAACGAGGATCTGAATATACCTACCAGGTGCGGTGTGAGTTTTTCCAAATCTCACTAAAGTAAGGCTGGAAAGATACCATCGGGTTTTGGAGATTCAAATGGAGAGAAGTTAGATATTGCCCATCGAATTTTGTCATCGCCTACAATGTGTTTGGCATGGTGGTGTCACGAGTTGGATCACCTCAGGAAGATGGCTAGGAAATCTTTTAATAAGGCAAGAACCACAAAACTCAAAGAGGACTGGGATACTTACAAATCTCACCTCAGAGAATACAAAAAAAATCATCAGACAAAAACAGAGAGGTGCGTGGAGATCCTACTGCGAAAAAATCGAAGATTTCTCGCAAGCAGCGAGGCTTTAAAAAGCTCTCTGAAAAGATCCCCACCGAAGCATTGGTGCACTAATCAAAGAGGATGTCACGAAAACTACCAACCTCAAAGATAGCATCAAACTTCTGCTGTCAACACATTTCCCTGACTCGGTCATCACAGATGTTGTGAACTGAGAAGAGGAAGAATACAATCCATCTGTCTATGATTGGCAAACTGCCAAACACATTGTGGACGATGAAAAAATTAGAAGGGCAATATCCAGCTTCTCTCCATTTAAATCGCCAGGACCTAACGATATCTATTCAGCCCTATTTTACACCGCACCTGGTGGGTATATTCAGATCCTCGTTGTCTCTGAGGTATATCCCCAAAAAATGGAGAGGGGTAAAAATGATATTTTTACCCAAACCTGGAAGGATGGATTACACTGTCCCAAAAACATACCGACCAATTAGTCTAACATCGTTTTCCATGAAGACATTGGAAAGGCTATGCGAAAGGTACATAAGGGATGCGGTGATTACAACACTACTTCACCCAAACCAACATGCATACATCCCAGGCAGATCTACTGATTCAGCCCTTCATCTAGTTGCTGACTGGATAGAAAGATCCCTAAGGAGTACGCCTTGGGTGTTTTCAAAGATAATACATTTACTAACCAACAGGAATGTTCCACAAATGGTTATTGGGTGGATACATAACATGCTCTAAAAGCGAGCAGTAAACATAAGTGTAGAATATTTAAGAAGAAGAGGTTTGGTTGCGAGGGGATGTCCACAGGGAGGGGTGCTAAAACCTCTACTGTGAAATATAGTCCTCGAAACCCTCATCAGCCGCCTCAATAATGACAGACTACACAATAGCATATGCAAATGATCTGGTCATTTTGCAAACAGGGAATTTTGAGAACACACTTTGCGAAAGAATGTAAGTAGCTCTAAAAATTATCGAACAGTGTTGCAAGGACCATTCACTGCCTATCAATCCTGGTTCAAAAATGGTTCTTTTCACAAGGAAAATGATCAAAATGGAATTAAGACCTCCAGAACTCCTAAACACAAAAATAAACTTTGCAACAGATGTTAAGTACCTAGGTCTCACCTTTGACAGCAAGTTGGCATGGAACTTGCATTTAGAAAACTGAGTTAAAAGAGCATACATTGCTTATGAACAATGCTACCGAACCGTGGGCCGCACCTGGGGTTTCTCCCCCAGAGTCGTCACATGAACACACGGATATCATAAGAGACCTATGCTAACATACGGTGCAGTTTTCTGGGTACCGAAAATCCAAAAACAGCTATCCGTAAACTAGAACAAATTCAAAGGACAGCATGTCTCAACATAACAGGAGCCATGAAAAGAACACCGACTAGAGCCATGGAAGTCATTCTTAGTCTCACTCCCCTTGATATTTACATTAAGGAGTATTTGTTTGCTGCAGTGTTGTCAGGATAACTTAAGAGCTCCCTAGCAACTCTGCAGTTTCTTGTTTCATCCCATCTTTCCTTGAATTTCACAAGGAAATGTTCTTTGATTAGGTCTGTCACTACCGATTTTGTCAAGCCAATAGAAGGGACGACAATGACACGACTCCGCACGGTTGGAATAGAACCTGATGTAGGATCTTGTGAGGCGAGACGTCGCTTTTGGCAGAAGGCGCTCGATACGCTCCCACTGCTTCAAGCGAACATGTGACCACCGAATCAGGGAAGTGTGTTGACAGCTGAAGTTCGATGCTATCTTCGAGTTTTGCAGTTTTCATAACACTCTTTGATAAGCGCACCAATATTGTGGTGTGGATCTCTTGAGAGAGCTTTTTGAAGCCTCGCTGCCAGCGGAAAATCTTCGATTTCTTCGAAGTAGGATGTCCAGGCATCTCTTTGTCTTTGTCTACTATTTTTTTTGTATTCTCTGAGGTGAGATTTGTAAGTATCTCAGTCCTTTTTAAGTTATGTGGTTCTTGTCTTATTAAAAGCTTTCCTAGCTAATTTTCTTAGGTGATCCAACTCGGGACACCTCTATGCGGCAGTCGTCTAATCGTGTTGGACCGGCCTCAGGGGGGCAGGATTTCTTAAAGGCATTGTTTCTTGTGCTTTTCCAAAGCATTGTTATTGTTTGGTGTTTCGGTCTCCACCTCTCTCAAAGCTTCTTGGAGAAGGTGAGCATAGGTTGCCATGTCAGTCTTCCTAAGGTTTCGAGATAACGTGGGGGTCGGCAACATCAAGTTTATTTTGAAAATACGAGGATGGGCATCACAGTTCACCTCAAACATACAGGCACCAGAGAGGCAAAAAAATCTCTGGTTCTGAAGCAAAGAGGAGGAAGAAGGCTAATCTGCAGACAGGCAGAGCTTCGGCAAGTTTGTAAACTGATATGGTTTATTTTGGAACAAACCTATCAAGACTCTTACTGATATTCCCCATTTCGTAGAGATTAACGTATTCGTCTTTGATTCATCTATGTTCTAAGATTAATATCTTTTGATGAAAAAATGCAGTTTCATCGTTTCTCCCATCAACTCTTCCAAATATAAATTACATATTAAACTTTAATCATATATAATTAAAAGCAGACATTTATTCAAAATTGAGTAAGGCCAAAGTTGCAACTACATTTCTTTTAAATTGATGTAACAAAGGTGAAACCTAAATATTATGAAATGTGGTTGAATTTATAGAGAATAATTTTAATTTGTCAATGCAGCTTTTTGAAGATTTGGGTGTGAGGTCAAAAATGTATTTTCCAGAAAAGTAAAATGACTTTTATATATTAACTATTTATTTTTCATAACTTTTAAAAGTTTAATTTTTTTCCAATAAAACTTAATTTGTTTGTGTTTTGGTTTCCAGGAGTAGGACATGCAGAGGATTTAAATTACATTTTTCAAAATTCTGAAAATGAAAATTTGTCAAACTATTCAAATGAAGAAGTTATTACCCATAATCGAATTATTGAACTATGGTCGCAATTTATTAAATACAGGTATGTACTTAATTTTTTTATAAGTTGATTTAGTACAAGTGGAGCGGAGAGCAATGTAGCAAGTAAGCGAACAGTGTGGAGAGCAAGCGTCAAGTAAGTGGAGACTGGACAAAGGAATTACGTGCACATAATGAGCATGGAGATGAGATAATTAAATGAAACAGATTACGTGGAAGATAGTTTGCTATTGAGAAAGAAAACTGCAATGCACATCAATAAATATAGATAACTAAATGTGGGTAAGATATAACAATGTCAACGTTGCCAAAGTACATGCAAGGCCGTATTAAAAAGAGAAATAATTTAAGTGTAATGTGGTTTTCATATCCTAACAAATAATAATTTTATAAAGCAAAATAAAAAATGTAATGAAAATAAATTAGACAAGATCAAAAAATGTTAATTTGATGAATTGATAAATGCATAGTAAAAATAAATAAAAAGGTTAAAAAAAAAATAGCATGTGTGGACGTTAGTAGACTACCGGGGAGTAAAGAAATAAGTAGATACTTGAAAAATGGCTGGAAACAGTTTTGTTGCTTAAGTAGATAATGGGTCCTATGATTGAACGTTTACGTTATCCGTAACGTACATGTTAGGCCCAGTTTTAACAGTAATGAGGCAAGTTCGTATGATTGAAAACTGTTAAATTAGATTATAATAGGCGCAAATTGACAGTAATGTGTTAAAAAAAAGTTTTCCATCACACGAACTTGCCTTTTTACTGTTAAAATTGGGCCTAACATGTACGTTACGGATAACGTAAACGTGCAATCATAGGACCCAGACAAAGCTACTATGGGACCACATAGGGAATTCAATGTGTAAGAGTGAGAGGTACATATTCAGTAGGTAAGAGCGAGACAGAATGAGGGGAAGCGGGGGAGTAGGGGAATTATTTTTTTTAACGTCGAACAGAAAAATCATGCCTTTGCCAGAAGGGCCTAAGCGTGTATCTTTATTGATATTGGTCCGATTCAAACGGGAAAAACATCATTATGTAGATAACTCGCTATAAATTAACGTCGAATAGAAAAATCATACGTAGCACGAAAGCCAGAAGGGCCTTAGCGTGTTTCTCGGATATTACTGGTCCGATTTAAACGGGAGAAACGACATTATGTAGATAACGCGGTATAGATGAACGTTGAAGAGAAAAATCATGCGAAGTGACGTACCAAAAGGGCCTAAAACTCATATCTTTGTTATTGTTGGTCAGATGGAAAAAATGACATAATGTAGATAACTTCGGTATAGATTAACGTCGAACAGAAAAATCATGTGCAGAGTAAAAAGCCAGAAGGGCCTTAGCGTGTTTCTCGGATATAACTAGTCCGATTCAAACAGGAAAAAGTTACTACGTAGAGAACGCAGTATAGATTAACAACGAACAGAAAAATCATGCGCAGTGACAGGTCAAAATTGCTTAAAACTTATGTCTTTGTTATTGTTGGTCGGATTTAAACGGGAAAAACGGCATTATGTAGAGAACGATTAACGTTGAAGAGAAAACTTCTGCGATTGCCAAAAGAACCTAAGCGTGTTTTTCGGTTCTTACAAGTCCGATTTATGTAGAGAGCGTGATATAGATAAACGCTAAAGAGAAAAATCATGCGCAGAACGAAAGCCAGAAAGGCCTAAGCGTGTATCTCAGATATTACTGGTCCGATTCAAACGGGAAAAAGGACATTATGTAGAGGACATGGTACAGATGAACGTTGAAGAAAAAAATCGATGTTTCGTTTGAAGTTTTCGTTTGACGTTTTCGATTAACGTTTTAGTTTGACGTTTTAGTTTGACGTTTCGTTTGATGTTTCGTCTGACGTTTTCATTTGACGTTTTCGTTTCACTTTTAGTTTGATGTTTTCGTTTGCCATTTAACGTTTCGTTTGACTTTTTTGTTTGACGTTTTCGTTTGACGTTTGATGTTTCGTTTGACTTTTCGTTTGACGTTTCGTTTGACGTTTCGTTTGACGTTTCGTTTGACGTTTCGTTTGACGTTTCGTTTCTACCAAAGGGGCAGTATCAAAGGTATCGAAAACGTTTACATACAGATTTGCAAAATATTCGAATAATATATATTCGATGATTATTTATTACTATAAATAGACTAAGTTTAAAAAGGGAATATACATTAAGAGCGATATCCATGGTTAGAAACGGGCTCGAAACGGCTACAAGGTTTTCTCTTTCAATTTCGAATATTTTTTTTTTTTGAAATTTTCTATACCTGCTTTGTAAATGATAGAGAATCCCGCTGTAGAGCCCAGATTCAAAAAAACATATTTTTATAATTTTTCTTTACAAATTAGGAAAATTATTGCAAAAAGGAATCTTTACCGGGAATTGTTATATAAAAATCAACTAATTCTTGCTTATACATTTTTTTGTCCATAGCGTATATTTTTTGAAAACCTTGATTTACGAAAACTGAGAAAATGTATCAAGATTTATATTCATATAAATTGATTTGGCAACAAGGCGGCGGACGTTGTGTGCAGTACCCGAACCGAAAGTATTTATTCGATGGCTTTGTCTTGAAGTCGCTGAAATTATTCAAAAACTTTTTAGTTTCTTGGAATTTAATATATTTATTATTTTGTTTTTAATTGCTGTAATTAGGTATAGTTTATTTTGTATACAGGGTTGGGATTAAAGTTTGGAACAGTAAATATCTTTAAAACGAAAAGGACGATATTTATGAAACTTTGCAGGCGAGTTATTGTCAGAAGGTGAACGGCGAGCATTTTGAATATTTGAAGTGATTTTGTTTAAAGTATTATTCTCATTAGACTAAAGTAAATAAATTTACCTATTCTTTAAATGTAAAGTGATTTATTTCTAGTTTTTATAAATAATTTCCACTAAACTTAATATGTACGAATTCGGAATATCAGGATCTTTTAAAATCTGCAAAAATATACAAGGTGTCCCCTCTAAATTACAAAAGTTGAGGGTATTTCCGGTTAAACCGGAAGTACAGTAGTAACAAAAAATATGGCATCAGATGCGTTATGCGTCATTGTATTTGCCTGCAAAGTTTCATAAATATCTAGTTATAATTGGGATTAAATAAAATATTAACAATTGAAATGGCAAATTTTTTAATCGCACCGTCGCGTCGTTCTATCGTGTGCATGGAAGAGCTTCTCAAAATAAAAAAAAATAATAAATTGTAATTTCGTTCAGGGTACACACCAAGAGAAAAATTTCCGGAATTTTTTCTAGTTGTCATGGAAACTTTATAACAAAAAAGCATTTGAGTTACTATAAAATAGAGGTGTCAAATTTTCACTTATAATACCACTAGTGCCTAAAAAATTTCCTGATATTAATTTAGGAACGTGTGGTATTCGGTAAGAAAATTTTACATCGAAATATCAAATTTTGACAGACATGAATTAGAACGGCTAAAATAAAATTTGCAAAGTTGGCCATGCCAGTTATTCCTATTTGTCATATTTGAAGTCGTTTAGTCGACGCGAAAAACTTAATTAATGTGTTACTTATAATAATTAATCTAGTTATAATTGGTGTGAAATTATTAACAATAAAAATGGCAAATTTTTTAATCCCTCACACTGTCACGTCATGTCATAATGTAATGGAAGAGTTTCTTAAACGTCAAAAAATTTCAGTTGTAATTTCATTCAGGTGCACCCTCCAAGAGAAAAATAAATTTCCGGAAATTTTTTCTGTTTGTCATGGATACGTTTTGAAACAAAAGCATTTAACTATAAAACGGAGGTGTAAAATTTTTTCAAAAATGCTTCAGTGCGTTTTTGTTTTCGAGCAATTCTCTAGTACCATGAGATTGTAATTTAAGACACTTTCATTATAGAATTGTATCTTCACAAGTTTCAGTTTCTGAATTTAGGACCTCGGCGGAATATAATTCCGGTGCTCGTAATGTAATCAAGTAAGATTTTTTTTCTAATTATTCTACGAAAACAGTATATAAAATATATCTTACATAAATGGAAACTACCCAGATATTTATACTAAAACTCTTAATTTAGGAAAACGTCATTATCTTCTCGTGTTCCTAAGTGTAGGCTACTGGGATGAATCTGATACCTTACATAAAGATGAAACATCTGAATTCAGGATTTCGGCGCAATATAATTCCGGTGAATATAATGTAATCAAGTAAGAATTGTATTTTTTTTTTAATTTTTTTCTGATTATATTATCATAAAATTACGTAAAAAATATTATAAAAAAATGGTTCCTACACAGATATTTATGCGGAAATTTTTATTTCAGTAAAAAATTAGAATCTTCCCCTGTTCCTGGGTGTAGCTACTGGAAAGAATCCAATTCCTCCCATGAAGGTGAGACACCTCCAGCAAAAAGAAAATGCAAAGAACAAGAAAAAATCAAACCGGAGGGTAGGAGGAGGGTAGATTTTTAATTTTTCTTCAAAGAAATTCAAAAAATTTCACACCATGCCTTATTTAATTGTACTTTAAAAGATATGGAAATTATTCATGAAAATAGAAATGGATTATGTAGTAGATTTTTAGTGAGGTGTAAAATGTGTCTTATTGAACATTGCATAAAATTTTTTGAGGACTTTGAGCACACGATGAATATAAATGTAGCTGCAGCATTAGGAGCACTCTCGATAGGAATAGGTTTTTCTTAAATTGAAGAATTCATGGCTGCCTTGAATATACCATTTATGTCTCCTGGAAAATATCAAAGTTGTCACGAAAAATTAGCAGGTCACATTCACAATAAAGCTTGGGAAAATATGGAGAAAGCAACTACTGAGGAAGCTAATCTGGCACGCGAGCTTGGCGAAGTTGATGACAAAGGTCATCCTTATATAACTGTTGTTGGCGACGGAGCACGGAGTAAGCGCTCATATAATGTAAATTATAATGCACTATCAGGAGTAGCATGTGTTATTGGAAAAAGAACGGGTAAAATATTATTTTTAGGAGTAAAAAATAAATATTGTTGTATTTGTGAAAGGGCTATCGCCAAAAACATAC